CACCGTGACCTCGGTGCTCACGTGGACCCTGCCCTTCTAACCTGTGAGCTAGCCAAAGTCACTTACCGCGGTCTGCTTCCTGTGGCCTTAAGAAGTAGCGTCTATAAATGGAGGCCCCTCTTCTCCCAAGAACATATGCAAGTGGCCCACAAGCACATGGCAAGATGCTCAACATCATTAGCTTTGGGGAAATGCAACCCAGAATCACGAAGCCATGCCACCTCACGTCCCCTAGGGAGGCCATATGGAAAGACACATAACGCGAGTGCTGGCGAGGATGTGCACACACCAGAGCCCTCAGGCAGCGCAGGAGGGAAGGTGAATGGTGCAGCTGCCAGGACACACGCTTCAGTGTCACTGACGCTAAGGGAAGGAAGCCAGACACAGAGGCCATGGTCCCATTTCATAGGAGATGTCCAGAACAGCGAAATCCATGTGGACAGAAAGCAGATTAGGGGCTTTCGGGAACTGGGGAAAGTAGAATGGGGTGTGATGGGTGACGGGTGTGGTTGTTCAGTTTGGGATGATTTAAAAACAGGAACTAGATGGCCGGGATGGCTGCACGACACTGTGAATGTAACTAATCCACCGAGACTACACATTAAAATTGATAAGAGGATAAATTTTATGTTAGACACACATTTCACCACAATAAAAAAGGGAAATATGATGAATGAACACTCTACTAAACACACACAAACAAAAACACACACACAGAGGCAAATGCATGCAAATGATTTGTAATTTCAGATCAATAAGAAATGAAAATCTCTTTGAGGAGTAAAAAAAAAAAACGGGCCCTGGACAAGCAAATCATATCAGCCCATGTAATCCCCTCCTGGGGCACCTGTTCTCTGACACAGAAAATTCTCTCCCTGCCTCCCCCGGCTTCCCTGGCTGCCAACACGTGCTCATTACGAGCCCTGGACCACCAGGCAAAGGGATGGCTGAGGGTCATTTAGCTACTACCTCGGGCATTTCTTCCCAGAGGCTGTGGTTTTCCTGATGTGGGTCTGGTCTAAGAACTACCAAAGCCCAAGTCTTGCAGTGCTCTCCCAGAAGCACGGGGAAAGCTCAGAGACTGCCTGTGTTCCCCTGTCCTGACTCACTGAGTCCAAGATCCTGCTTTGAGGGCAGGGCCACAGGAGGAAGAGCTGTGACACCTGTCGTCCCTGAGGAAGACGGGCCACAGGCTTCACGGGCACATAAAGGCCCTCTGAGTCCTCCACGGAATCTCCACTGACAGCTCAGACCCTGACCCGGGGCTTGCATCAGAGCAGAGAACCCACAGGGGCTGACACCCTGGGAGAGGGACAGTTCCCTCTGGCGGGGAGACGGGTACGGACACCCAGCAAACAGCAAAGAGGATGGCAAGAAAGCAAAGCTCTCACTGGAGGATACGGTCTCTGTGTCAAATCTCTTGCCCTGCGTTTTACTGTAATGGAAACCGTCTTTGCCGTGAGAAAACGAGCATCCCACAAGGTTCAAACAGGGCCTGGTGCCCACACTGTCCCCCTCTCCCCAGGGGGTGTGCAGATGGCATATAACTAGCTGGGCCCTCAAAGCACACAGACGTGGGGCGGGAGACAGCGCTCGTTGCCAAACAGGCAGCCTTGTCCCCCAGAGGTCATGGCACACACTGACTCTTACTCCTTCAGGGATATAGGCTTGGGGCTGGCAACTGCTGGCCTTCTCCCCGTGTGTAGAAAGCAAGCTGACAGGGAAGCCCACACGGATCACAGGGCAGGGAGAAGAGAAGATGGGGGAGAGTAG